TTAACTCCACTTATCCTATCGAGGTACCACCCGGAAGGACCGTTGGGACCCCTTTCAAGGGGGCTGTTGGCGCACGGAGGGCGGGGTGGGTGGGTGTGTCTGGTGTCTCCAAGCGTGGGCGTGGCAGGCCCTTCTTTCCAGAAAGTTCCGCCAGGCGCCAAGAGAAACGGATGCAAGTAGAACAAGGAGGCCGCCAGCGCCTGGCACGCTTTTTGGGTGTGTGTGTGTGTGTGTGTGTGTGTGTGTGTGTGCGTGCAGGCGATGGGTCTTAAGTCCTCTCTTTTTCTTCTCACGATTGGCACCTTCGAAGCCTGTCCAATAAACTGGGGCAACGGGGGGGGGGGGTATGGCCCTGGGGTTTTTGGGGGGGGGGGGGGGGCTGGGGGGGGGGGAATTTCGGGAGCCATCAGGGAAGGGCAGCTGCTCTGGGCAGGGGAGGGCAGGGGGACCTCAGGGTGGGGCAGGATATGCTTTGGGTGACCTCCTTTGTGCCAAAACCCATTCAATGACGCAGTGGCGAAAGAGTTTTAGGGCGTTAAGGGGGTCTCTGGGGCTCTCTGAGCCTGGTTGTTTCCCAGCAGACGTTTCCTAACCCAACTAGGGAACATCATCAGTTCTAGAAGGGAATAACTGGGTTTGCAGGGAGGAGGAGGAGGAGGAGCCTGTTTTTTTTTTCCAGGCGTTTCATCGTCCCCCCAAATTAGGTGAACATCAGCAGGGCTAGAAAGTGCAAACGCCACTCCTCAGTAGCTCTGGTGACGTGACCTAGTTGGGTCATGAAACGTCTGTAAGGAGACCCCCCAAGCTCAAGAGAGCCCCAAGGACCCCCACAGGCCTCCTCCTCCTCCTCCTTCCTAGCACTGATGATGTTACCAAGGTGGGTCATGAAACGTCTGCAAGAAAAACATTCCAGTTCAGAGGACCCCACATTTCTCCTCCTCCCTGCAAACCCCTCCCTCTGAAGCACTGATGAGGCTGCCTGGTTGGGTCATGAGAGGCCTGCAAGGAAACTACCAAGCCCAGAGAGACCCCAACAGTCCTCCTCCTCCTCCTCTTTTCCTCCCTTCCTCTCTGCAAACCCCACTGATGAGGCCACCTAGTTGGGTCATGAAACGTCTGCAAGGGAACCAACATGCTCAGAGAGCACCCACAGTCCTTCCTCCCTCCCTCCCTGCCTCCTTCCCTTCTTCTTCCTTCCTTCATTCCCCCTTCCTTCCTTCCCCCACCCTCTCTTCTTCCTCCCTCCCTCCCTCCTCTTCTTCCTTCCTTCCATCCTTCCTTCCTCCCTCCTCCCCTTCTTCTTCATTCCCCCTTCCCTTTTTCCTCCTTCCCTTCTTTCTTCCTTCATTCCCCCTTCCTCTCTTCTTCCTCCCTCCCTCCCTTCTCTTCTTCCTTCCTTCCATCCTTCCTTCCCTTCTCTTCTTCTTCCTTCATTCCCCCTTCCCTTTTTCCTCCCTCCCTCCTTCTTCTTTCTTCATTCCCCCTTTCTTCTTCCTCCCTCCCTCCCTTCTCTTCTTCCTTCCTTCCATTCTTCCTCCCTCCCTCCTTCCCTTCGCTTCTCCCTTCATTCCCGCTTCCCTTCTTCCTTCCTTCTTTCCTCCCTCCCTCCTTCTCTTCTTCCTTCCTCCCTCCTTCCCTTTTTTTTCATTCCCGCTTCCTTTCTTCCTTCCTTCTTTCCTCCCTCCCTCTCCTTTCTTCCTTCATTCCCCCTTCCCTTCTTCCTTTTCTTCCCTCCCCCCTTCCCTTCTTTCCTTCCTCCCTTCCCTCCTCTCTGCAACCCCCCCTCCTTCCCAGCCCTGATGTCACCTACTTGGGTCACGAAACGCCCGCATGGAAACCCCCCCCCCGCCCCCAGAAAGCCCCGCCCCCCCCCCCCCCCCCGATAAAAAGCCCTGCACGCCCTGTTCCCTCCCGGCCCCGACGCCGTCGCCTACTTGGGTCACGAAACGCCCACAAGGAGACCCCCCCCCGTTGGGCCCCGAGCTGTAAATGTTCCCCCTTTTATTGGTGGTCGCAGGGCAGCCGGAAAAGGAGGCGCTGTGAGCCTTTTTCTTTCTTTCTTTTTTTCCTTCTTCTTTTGAAAATCCGGCTACAAGAGGGAAATTTTGCTGGTCCTGCGGGACTCGGGACCCCTGGCTAGGCCCACCCCCCACCCCCCCCATATAGTTGAGGGGGGGGGCAACATGGTTTATCTCCTTCTCTAGTTATTGGAAGGGCCCCCACAGCCCCCCAAAATATCTCCCACCTAAACTTTAAAGCAGGGGTCTGCAACCGGGGCTACTTGCAGACCCCTGATCTACACCGTATCCTACATGCTAGCTGTGGAATGCTGGGAGTTGTAGTCCTCCAGGCTCAAAGTAGCCCCAGGTTGGAGACCCCTGCTTGAAGTGCAGAGCAAAATGGCGGGTGGGTGGGTGGGGTGTGGCCCCCTCCCCACAGATTTGGGTGAAGAGAGACAAACCCACCCACCACCCTCCAATTCTTTTAAGGGCAGCGCCATTTTCCGGCTTCGTCCGTCGGATTATTTTGACCTTCCAGCCCCCCAAAGTCAAAAGTTTTTTCCGAAGGGATCCAAACGGCCCGACCAGGCTCCGCTCCAGGAAAATAAGAGAGGAGGGGGCTTCCCCCACCAGACGTCCTCGGTTTGCAACGCCCGTCATCTGCATGCAGGACGATGCCCCCCCCCCCAGCTGGGCACCTTCCGACTCAGGCCTGCAGGAGCTCGTAGATGCCGTCCGGTTCTTGGCTGGGTTTCAGGAAGCCGACGTAAACCAGGAATCGAAGGAGGGAGCTGGTCAGCTTCGTGGAGGTGACCTGGAACCTGGGTAGGGGGACACACACACAAGACGAGAGCGTCGGGGTGGGTGGGGGGCTTCGCTGAAGGGGCCACGGACCGTAGGGGAGGTTAGAGGGCAGGGCCGTCGCTCCCGTTGGGGCACATAACAGATAATAGTTGGAAGGGACCTTGTAGGTCATCCAGTCCAACCCCCCCTCCCGCCCAAGCGGGAGATGCAGAAGGACAGTTAGTCCTCGATTTACGACCGCTTGCTCAGGGTCTATCCGGTGTTACGATGGGCCGAGAAAAAGGCCCTGCGACCCAGGAGGAGCAGCTCGCGAGTTACGACCGTTTGCTTAGGGTCTATCCGGTGTTACGACGGGGAGGGAAAAACGCCCTGCGACCCAGGAGGAGCAGCTCGCAACTTACGACCGTTTGCTTAGGGTCTATCCGGTGTTACGACGGGCAGGGAAAAACGCCCTGCGACCCAGGAGTAGCTTGCGACTTACGACCGTTTGCTTAGGGTCTATCCGGTGTTATGACGGGCAGGGAAAAACGCCCTGCAACCCAGGAGGAGCAGCTCGCGACTTACGACCGCTTGCTTAGGGTCTATCCGGTGTTACGACGGGCAGGGAAAAACGCCCTGCGACCCAGGAGGAGCAGCTCGCGACTTACGAACCGTTTGCCTTGGTTCAAAGTTACGTCGTCGCTGGGAAAAGTGACTCAACTGACCCCTTGTCAGGCTATTCTGGCCATCGTAATCGTCCCGCGATCAGAATCCAGGCGCTCAGCAAGTGTAAAAAGTGACTTTTAAGGACCGTTTTTCCCCCCCCACACACACTTAACGGCCGTTCTGATCGTCTCACACACCCACGGATCAGAATTCAGGCCGTATTGATTGAGGACAGTGGCAGCGTCCCTGGGGGAGGCCAGGTTCACTTAACGACTGTGATGAAAACTGCAATTCACTTAACAACAGTGGCCAGAAAGCCCATAACACGGGGCCAAACTCACTTGACCCCTGTTTCATTTAGGCTCCATTCCGGTCATAAGTTGAAGACTCACTGTGCTGAAGGCCTAATTTTTCTTCCCCCCCCCAGCTTGGTCCCACGGCACAAATATCCTCATTTTTTAATTTAATTTTATTTTGATCCATTAAACTTATAAGCCGCCCATCTGATTGTTTTGGGCTGACTTTAGAGCAACGGTATCCCAACGTGGCCCCTTTAAGCCTGGCTGGGGAATTCTGGGAGTTGAAGTCCACCCTTCTTAAAGGGGCCACGTTTGGACACACACCTCATCGCGATCCCCAGCCAGCCACGGGGGGGGGGGGGGGGCCCCTTTAATGGCGGCGGGGAAAAAAAAAAACCCATGGAAAAGTCACACCCGCCGATTCGGCGACTCGCTTTACGACTGTCAGCATCGGGTGACACTTGAGCGGGCTCCGTTGGGGTCGTTAAGTCGAGGCCCGGCTGTGTTTGGACCCTTACCTGAGAGTGAACTCGAACACGAGGCCGTCCCAAAACGCCCGGATCCAACGGAAGAGGAAGAAGTTGGCCAAGGCTCCGGATCTCTGGCTGACCGTGCGACTCCAGCATTTCACCGCACTGGGGAGGGAGAGACAGACGGACGGACGGACGGGTGGGTGGGTGTGGTTGGCACGAGGGGGGCGTGGCTACGCGACCCCGGAAGCACAGAGACCCTCCTCCCTGACCCCGGCTGGCTTCCTGCCTCCCCTACGCCCATAATGTGGGTGCCACCCGGAGTTGGGGCGGCTCCATCACGGGTGGTTTTTAAGAAGAGACCGGACGGTCGCTTGTCTGGAACGGTAGAGGGGATCCTGCCTGAGAAGGGGGCTGGACTAGACGACCTCCCGGGTCCCTTCCGATACTGACTGAACTATTTGCGTATAACTCCTGCTAGGGGTAGTAATAGTAGTAGTAGTCCCTTCTTCCCGTCGAAATAGGAGCAGAGTTGAACCCTGGCTCGCCCGTGGTGCCGTGGCAGAGCCCTCCATGCGGATGCATGGCCGCCGGCTGGCTGGGGAGGGGGATTCTGGGAAAGGAAGCGCACAAGTCTTCCAGGGGCCGAGGTTGGAGAGCCCTACACCACGTCCCAGGCGTCGCTTCACCCAGAGAGGAAAAGGGTTGACGCGGCATCTGCTAATAGCCGAGGCGTACGGATCTGCCTCTCCTCCTAACTCGAGGAAGGGAAACGCGGGCACGGCAACATCTCCACCCCGGTGGACTGGCTGGATCCGCACCCGGCCGGAGGGAGGGGGGGGGTCTCCTCTGCCTTCAGTCTCCTTGTCTGGCCTGAGGGGATTCAGATCCTGCCTTGAGCGCCTTCTGCTCAGGGCCTGTCAAGGGTCCTTTTCAAAGGCCCCCGTTTCACGAGTCTCCCCTTTCCTGGGTTAGGAGGAGAGGCAGATCCTTACACAAGGAAGCTTTCAAATAAAGTTGTCCTCCTGCCCCCCCCCTTCCCCCTCCCGCTCGGAGTCTAAGACGAGCACCTGACCGGGAGCGGGAGTGTGGCTCCGTCGGCTGTGGAGGAAACTGGGGAAGGGCAAAGCCCGGCTGGGCAGAGCAGGGGAGAGGGAGAACAAGGGAGAGGGAGGAGTTCAGAGGAAGACCACCCTCCTACCCTCTCTTCATCTGAGGGCGCACACAGGGAGGAACGGAGAAGGGAGCAACATGGGTTGGGTGGCTTACGGGGGAGGAAAGGGCCCTGATTCCCTTCATTAGCCAGAGCTGGGAAGAAACTTGAAAAGAGATACAAGCTGAGTGCAGCATCTGCTGGGGACAAACACGGGTTCATCTTGTGTTGACTGGGGTTATCTGCGTTCCTGTCATGTTCCCAACTGCGTTGAACTATGGCCGTTTCTTTACGTCGGGAATTCCTGCCGGACTAATGACTTCCTCTTGCCCCGATTGGACTTATAGTTACAGTTTGTGTGGTAGGCATAACGTATCTTGACTTCAGCAAAGCGAAAACAATAAATAAATAAAGAGCTGGCTGGGGAATTCTGGGAGTTGAAGTCCACCCGTCTTCCAGCCCCAAACATAGAATAACCGAATTGGAAGGGACCTTTTCGAGGTCATCTAGTCCAACCCTCCCTCCCTCGAGCAGGAGCGTCCATTCCAAATATTAGCCTCTGCCTAGGATCGAACTCACAGCCTCCTGATTGTGTGGCGAGAGCTCCGCCTCTAGGCAACGGCTTCTGGCTCCCACCTTCTGGCCATGATGTAGTAGCGGTCCACGGGAACGCCCAGCGCCACGTTGATGCCCCGGACGGTGTTGATGTTCCGGAAGACGAGGAGCATGGAGCGAGGCAGGTCCCTCAGCACCCGCATGATGCAGTCGAAGTGGTGCTTGGCCATGTCGCGCATGTAGGCCTCCTCCTCCCGGGTCATCACGTTGGAGAGCGCCAGCTCCGCCATGTTGATGGGCCGCTGCAGCAGGATCTCGCAGAAGAGCAAGTAATCCTGGGCTGGGGAGGGAAAGGGGAGGGGCAGTCAGGAATGGAGACCCCCCCCCACACACACACACGCCAGAAAATGAAATGAGGGGCAATCGGAAATGAATTGCGAGGGAGGAGCCCTTGGGGCCCTCTGAGCTTGGGGGGTTTCCTTGCAGACGTTTCATGACCCAACAAGGTAACGTCATCAGTGTCCCTCCCTCCCTCGAGAACAAGCCCCATTCCTTACTAGTATTGATAATGTTATCTAGTTGGGTCATGCAACGTCTGCAAGGAAAGAACCAAACTCAAGAGACCAGCAAAGACACCCCTCCCCCCGCCCAGTCCTTCTCCTCCTCCTCTCCTTCCTCCTCTCCTTCCTCCTCCTCCTCCTCCTCTCCTTCTTCCTCCTCCTTCCTCCTCCTCCTCCTCCCTCCTCTCCTTCTTCTTCCTCCTCCTCCTCTCCTCCTCCTTCCACTTCCTCCTCTCCTTCCTCCTCCTCCTCTCTTTCCTCCTCCTCCTCCTCCACAAACCCCACTCCCTTATAGCAGCAATGAGGTTCCCTAGTTGGATCATCAGCAAGGAAACTACCAAGCTCAAAGAGCCAAAAGGACCCCACAGTCCTCCTCCTCCTCCTCTCCACACACCCCTTCCCTTCTAGCCCTGATGATGTTCCCTAGTCGGGTCGTGAAACGCCTGCAAGAAAGCCACCAGACTCAGAGAGCCCCAAGGATCCCTCCCTACAACCCTGAGCTCCGAATCGTCTCCTTGAAGAGCTGAAAGCAGGGCAGCCCATTCAGAAGGGAGACTGCTTGCACCCCCCCTCCCGATTCCCCCCCCCCCCCCCCCCCCAAAATGGGAGACTTTCCCCTCCTGGGCAGTGAGATTTCTCGGGAGGTGCAAACAAACCAATGCGGCTTGATCTTAAGTCCTCAAGGGGCCCGGCTGGTGCAACGCACTGCGTGGATCCAGCCAACTCCTGTTACTCAACCAACCGCAGCCGCGTCCTTACTCACCTTTTACACCCAGCTGCTGGGCGTGCAGCTGCATGGAGGCGTCATCCCGCAGGATAATGGCACGCCAGAGCTTGCAGAGAGCTTCTCGGTTCCTGGGGGAGGGGAAGGGGGGGGAGGGGGAGGGCAAAGAGGAGCTGTCAGCGGGCGAGGGCAAAGAGGGCAATGCAGCTGCAGAGCCTCAGGGGTCCCAGGAGGGAGTCCTCGAGTTTTGACGGCCCCTGGGAATAGAAGGCCCACTAAGCCAGGGGTCGGCAACTAGCGGGCCGGGGACCACTGGTGATCTGTGAGAAAATTTTACTAGTCCGCAGAGAAATGTGTCCCCTCCCCAAAACCAATTAATCCAGGCTGGGAGGGAACAAGGCTGCGCCACCCACACGGCCCGCGGGAACACAAGACTTGTGTCGCTTGCATTGCAGACAACACGAAAGAGGGAGGGGAGGGAGGGGGGAACTTGCCCCATGCGCTCCACACATCTGGCCTGGCCACTGGGCCGCTTCTTTCCGCTTCTTTCTTCTTCTGCTTTTGGCTGCACGCGAGGAAAGCAGCCAAAGTCTTTCTTTCTCTCCCCCAAACTCCGCCAGAAATGAGTCTTTGGGAGCCTGCAAGGCCTCCTGCTCCAAGAGGCTGCGCCGGCAAAGACTCATTTCTGGCGGAGTTTGGGGGAGAGAAAGAAAGACTTCTGCGGCTTCTGCTGCTTTCCTTGCACGAAGCCAAAAGTCTCTCCCTCTCTCTCTTTCTCCCCCTGAGCTGGAGACAACATCCTGTGATCCCACATAAAGAACGATCGATCAGTAGGAAAATGGGGTGGGGGATTTTCCTGAAAACTTTTTTTGGGGGCGGGGGATATTTTCCCAGGGTCTCTGGTCCGCGGGATTTAAAATTATGAGTTTGGTGGTCCCTGAGGTCCAAGAGGTCGGCGACCCCTTATAGCGGGACCTCATGAGATCACATTCCTTAGCGATGGCAGCCCTGTGTTGCCACATCCTCCACAGCTTCCTCCAACAGTCCAAGTCATTGGGGAAGCTGGCAGGAAATCGCCAGTGCCAGGTGGATGTCGAGCATCCTGGCGGGCAGGTTAAGTTACAGCTAGTCCTCGATTTACAGCCACAGCGGAGCCCAGCATTTTCTGACATTTTTTTTTTAAGCGAGATTTTGCCCCATTTTCCGAGCCACTTGTCGTTAAGTGAATCTGGTTTCCCCATGGACATCATTTATCAGAAGGTTGCCAAAAGCGGATCGCGTGACCCCGGGCACACTGCGACCGTCATTAAACAGGAGTGTGCTCTCCAGCCAGTTATAGTTAATGGGAATTGGTATAGTTACTTAGGAATTGGGAGCTGTCCCCTTAAGGGAATGCATCACGGTAAACGTAGTTAAGGCATCCTGGGAAATGTAGTCCATATCATGTGGCCACATCTGTAAGCCTGATTGGTCACTGAAATGACCCTTGGTTGGGTAGGGGGAGGTTCCTTCACTCTTGCCTGGACCCCAGCAGGATGCGGGTGCCCCACCCTTTCCTCTATCATTATCGGGATGAGAAATTACCATTTTTTTACACCATGAATTGCAGCTATGTAGAGAATCGGACATCCGGAAGAATCTCATCATAACCGTGAGTTATGTGAGGATGCCCGATGAACCAGTAAAAAGACTTTGTGTGGTTTATCAATGGTTAGATAATAAAACATAATGATAGAATATTCAGATTTAGCATAAAAAAAAAATTTTTTTCTTGATATTATCTTTATAAAACATTATCAAGGTAGATTTGGTATGATCTTATGATTTATTGCAAAATAAATTAAGCAAACTATAGTTATCTCGTTAAAATATGAATTAACAAAATTATAAATGATTTTTTTTAGTGATTATATTAGGTTATACAATTATTGATTGATAATATGAGCTATTATGTAATATAATTATACTAGTGACTAGGAAATGGATGCACAAAAAAAGTGGTAAACCAATCGATGCCCTGTTTGTAAATTTATGAAGAAGGATATTCTTATGTTTTTTTTGTTATGTATGCTTATGCTTGTTATTAAAAAATAAAAAATCAAAAAAAATTTATATATAAAAAAAATAAATAAAAAAAAAGACTTTGTGTGGATGCTTTGTGAACTTATTCCGTCTGCCTTATATTAAGAAGCAGAACAATGAGTAAGTTGCCAAAAGTCTGACCGTAGGGATGTTAGGTGGAGGGAGGAAAAAACGGCCGTAACTCGCTTTTTTTCCCCCCGTGCCGTTGTAACTTCGGTCACTAAAGGAGCGGTTGTTAAGTTGAGGACGACCTGTGGCTGCTGGTCCCTGAACGAGAGCTTGCTACTTGGGGAGTGCTTGTACCCCAAAAGGAGATCCTCCCGCCAGAGAAACCCCCCCCCCCCCCCCCCCCCCCCCGGATCCTTACTTCTCGTGAAGGACCTCGTAGAGGCCGTGATCCAGCAGAACCAGCTGGGCTTTGCCATCCGGGCCCTTCTGCACCAGCACTGCAAGAGAAGGACAGGGACGCAGGTGAGAGCAGCCCAACTGCACAGCTACCTGGAGCGGAAGTATCTCCTCCACGCCCCCTGCAAACCTTCCCCCCACCCCCCGGAAGTGTCCTGGATGTTCTGACCGAGGTTTCCCCAAATCACCCAGGGCAAACTCCTCGTCCCAATAAAACCCCCTTTTGATTAGGCTAATGTGACACTCCTCTCATTCACGTCCAGCAAAGTCCCGGCAAACAGTCTTTTGAGAGGGAATTTACACCCACAGGCCCTTATCAGGCTGGAGAGAGTTGCCAGGCCGATAAGCTTCCAAGCGCCACGCTGGAGCGGACAACACTTGGCAAGGAGTCTCGGAGAGTCACGGACAAATCTTCACACTAATGAAACGAACTATAATTGTCTCCTGCAAACTCCTGCGGTGGGTCTGCCAGCGAAAAGAGAGCTTGGGAGGGCCACCCGCGGATCCTCCTAGGCTCCGTTTTCACTGGCAGGGGGCTGAGTTCTGATCGAGGCTCCCCAAGATCATGAAGCCGACTCCTCGTCCCGATAAAACCCCTTTTATTCAGGTCAAAGTGAATTTCCTCTCCAGCAAAGTCCCGGCAAAGAGTCTTTCATGAGATTTCACAACTACAGACCTTGATCAGGCTGGGAGAGTTACCAGGCCGATAGCTTCCAAATCCGATCCTCATCCTATCCTTAACCCATTATTGTCCTATTCTTTTCCTATCCTATCCTTATCCTAAGTCTTATTCTATCCGATCCTCATCCTATC